GAATAATAAAGGGTGTCATGTGAGTATGCATTCTACAAAAATCCCGCAACTGCCAACACCTGAAACAAAATGTGTCCAGCAGGTCTCAAGCGTCTGTGGCATTCCTGACGGGCGGGCAACCCGATCCACAGAACCAACGTATGTTACTAAATCGTCACTCAAGTGCGAACATGTTCACCTGTTCAGTCAAGCGTGCGCTGGTAGGGTAGTGGTGATACGCTCGCCTCGCGTGTCAAATGTGTGGAGTTCAGCCCCAGCACACCGGATATGCACTGCAGATGAGGTCTAATAAGAGCGAGACTCGAGTCCAATGCTTCCTCCCCTTTGGTGTGGACTCACCACAATGATTGCGCCAGGACAGTAGGACGACTGTTCAAACGAGAGTCATGTGAGTATGAATTCTACAAAATCCCATACCCATCAAAATCTGAAGGAGTTTTGTTTAAAATAACCACTTTAGGCAGCTATCGCAAATTTTACGTGACCTGGTACACTTGTTCTGAATGGTACGCATTATTCCTAAAGAAAATTCATTCTTCAGCTCATGAACTCCCTCTCTGCTTGGTTGCTTTGGGGGAGAGGGCGATCGTGCATACGATAAACTTTTTGGCTCAAAATAATCCGTTCCGGTGTATAGAAACCGTGGTAGAACTTCCAAAAGAGCTTGTTAGGAAGTCCTACGCGAATTTGAAGTAAAACTTACTTTGCCGTCTGCACAGGTATGCTCATGCTCCCACCAATCCAACCAAGCTCTGTTCGGTTCGTGTTGCACGCCAAAAATGCAACCGCCACTCAAAGCTGAACGGATGGCCTCTTCCACAGTCATCTTTTCCGGTACAACAAACTCGTCGTCCAGTACATCATCATAGTTGGGCTCACAAAACAGGAACAGAAAACTGTATACGATGGCTCGAATTCCCATATGGCTGAAAACGAAAGCTCCTAATGAAAATACATCGCAAACAGATGGGCTTACATGGTCCAGTTATCCAGAAGGTTGACACAAATTTCAACCTCGCCATCTACAGCGACCACGTTGGGATGATAAATATGATCCGGAGTTGTGATACGTGGAAAATAACCCTGCCGATCGTCTGCAAAGTCCAGCTGCATGAAATATTGATGCGAAAATGTCCACAGTTACGTTTCAGAAAACAGGTAACACACACGGTTAGGTGTCTACAAGAACATGGAAGAGGTTTCATGATGGCGAAAAGGATTTAAATTATATTTACTCAGTGATATAGAACAAACATGGCAAGACGGTCAAGTTGGAGTGCGACACAGAGGGTACACGGAAAACGTGTTTAGTATCATTTCAATTTAAAAAAACGAGTAGCTCCCCAGTTCGAGCAAACCAAACACATTCGAGAGAAAAACGGTTGCCAAGAGCGAATCCTTTCATGTTTCCGCACCTTCAAGTGTTGTGAAAACAGGGCATATCATTCGTCCAACATTTCCTTGCTAAACATGCATACAATCTTAGACGGTAAGCTCCATATGAGTTGGTAAATGACGGCCAAAAAAACTAGTACGGATGGTCATCGAAGGGACTCGTACTGTGTGCACGGGTGTACGGATGTAGTTCCGGTAAAGCACATCTGTTTGATGCCTTTATGGGGGCAAACCATCCACCACCGTTCCCCGCTAAGTACCTCATTTCCGCCAGTGCTTGCACGTGGCAGCCACCAAGTCCAAGTACACCACTGCTACAGGTGGGTCAAACAGAGGGAGATCGAATATGTCAGCATCTCTAAAGTTTCGGGAAAGCATGTGAAGACAGTGTGGGTAGACCGGGAGGAAGAAGTTTATTCAATATTAAGCAACCATGACGACCATTCTGTGTCTTTGTAATATACAAGCAAATCTGTGGATGTCAAATCCCATTACAATTGTAGGCTGCACTTGGTCGTGAAAAGACCGATGGTATGCTCCGAACAAAGAGTCCGGTGGTGTTGAGGACATCACCAGCATGAAAATCCCGTGACATTTTGCAAAATTCATCTAACGACTGTAACTCTATCCACGCTACGGCGTGATGCGTCCCTGTGATGCTGTGCACCCTCTGCTACCTGTGGCCGCGGTGGTCGACACACAAACAGGATCCGCTAAAACCTCTCTGCGGGACGTTGAAAAGCGCGAATGTTATCAGACCGTGGAAGCTAGTATATCATTGAAGAAAACCTACATGATAAACACGTCGATAGCGCATCGGACGGCCGGTCACCTGAATCCGGCCAAAGGGGAACCACATGCATATACGATTCCTGCTGCTAGATTTACCAGTGCGCCTGGTAAACACCAAGACTTTCAGGGAGTCAACTTTGTCCCGAATCCCACGTACGCCAGTCTCATTTAGAATAGCTTTAACGCATTTTCGAAGGATTTGCAGTGAAAGATTTAGCAAACTGGCCCAAGCGACCTAAATGCAGAGACCTAATATCACAATTGTTTGCACGAAGCAGAGGATTCCGGTGGTAAAACCAAACTATTTCACCAAACTACTCCACCCCATTGGGAAGGGGCTGGAAAATAACGTTGGATAACGGTTTACGTATCTCAGTAATTTACTGAATTATATTGTTGAGTGCTGATGGGTCATCCACAAGGTCTCTCCAGGCTGGTTTACGGATAGAGGTCGGATAAACAGTCTTCTGACCCTCTATGCTGACGGTCGGAGGAGGCAAGGCGACAAGTTTCATAAAAGTAACAGTAGTCTGAAGCCAATCATTGCTCTCCTAGACGAAGATTTTAGTTGAGGACGCCGATCCACAGGTAAGGATGCCAACAGAAGGTCAGTCCTCGCACAATTGTGAATTAAACAGACGGAAGTACCTTCCATCCATGCTATTTGTCGTGACACCAGCCTAACAGTCTTATCAGTTCGTTATGCTGATTGATTTGGGGTTGATGCTTATCGCAAAGATAATGGGAGTGTTTCTTCAGCTTTGTGCTTAGCATCATTTGTTTCTAGCCAGCACAAACTCAGGACAAACGCTTACATCGTCATATGAAGACCACCAGTTTCAAATCGCGCGAGGACTCATTTGGACCATCCGGCCATCTGGTACCAGTGGAAATCTTCGGCACAGGACAGTAAACAACGTAGCTCTAATTATGACATTGTGGGGACACGCGTACCTATTATTTTCCCCTGGAACACTTCGGCCAATGCAAGGCCATTCAGTTCATCAAGCTGAGCTTGCTAAAAAGCTTCCAGAACTCGACGGACACACTGGTTACGTTGAGTCATTGGATAACGAATGGAAATAGATAGGAGAAGTCGTGCTCACATCCTTTGAAACCGTCTGTCTAAGGCGGCTTGTGCACTCCAATTAACAACGAATTTGGCCACTACCAGTGGCTTACTGATGCCGTGAAAACTATACCAGCGGTGAAACACCAGTGTTTTCGTTTAGTGATGTTGTCAACTATGATAATGGTACCAGCAACAAAACACCATTATAATGTGCGCAGATTCCTAAAACATCCAACAACAAGGAAGCGAAGGGTTGACAGAACGAGCCCGAAAAATGGAGAAAGCCTTTGTAAAGTTTGAACCTGTAGCACCTAGCCAACCCGATCAAATGGTTCTACCAAAGAAAACAATGTCTCCACCAGATTTCTCTTGATGAGGGGCTGCTGGGGGACAGGCCAAGACTCCGTGACACAAGGTGAAGGCAGTTGCTTTCAAACCGACTGCTACAGGATCTTTGCACCTTCCTGTTGAAGTCCATGTGGTTGTCCCCGCACGTGATTGGAAGCCCCACAGGATATACCGTGTAACCGGGCCCAGTGGCATTAATTTCACTTTCTAGCCCGGCTGTCCGTCATCATGTGCTGCGCTCTCATTAGGCGAAGTTCGCAAAGGACCTCGGACCAATCCTGTTGGTGGAGTAGTAATTCGACATGCTGCTCTGATGTGTTTACCTTGTCGTTGTACTAAAGTATGTGCACCTTGTTTATGGCCATTTTCTACTGGGACAAAGAGCTTGTTGTGCAAGGATTTAGTCCTCTTCTTCTTCTGAGTTAGCACCAGAGAACGCTCCCTCGTGGTTATTGGACAGTCAAGCACGTTTACCGTTGGTGTGTTACTTTCGGGGATGACAACGCTATATCCGAACTGAAGACAAATCACAACATAGGTGAGTAGCTGGAATTTGAGCAATCACTCAAACGGTGAATACATGAACCTTGGTATCCCAGTGCAGACTCCAAATCCTCACGAAAAGAGGCCTCAATTACAACAGAATGATGGTGGTTCGTGTTACCAATGAAGCTGGACAGCAAATCAGTTGGTCCATCTGGATTTGTTACCCGATTCGAGGCTGGTTAGAAAAATTGAAGTTTTTTGCCTGGGAAATGTACAGGACGCCAAAACTCAAGAGCATCTACCACCGAGTTGCGGCCCCGGAGAGAGAGGGACTAGGTAGCGCTGCCAAAGAGAACATGGGATTTTACTTTCGACGTGTTGCCCATTTAAACATACAGCAAATCACAATAAAACCTTGAGAATTCCACAAAGCCCACGCCTTCGTAGATAACACGATCAAAGCGAAGCTCAATACCATCTGCCGCTAAAGGCTGTTAAGTAATATGCTATCAATTATAATAACGCGAAGTGTTGCAGCCTGAAAAATAAAATATTTTGCTTACCAGATTCGAAAGTGTGTGAAATAGAACTCCAAAACAAAGCACCCTATGCGCCCATTAACAACTCCATGCGAAATCGAGGATCAAAGAGTAGCCAGAATGCCCGACTACTATCCCTTCTAACAAAAAATCGATAAGGAATAAAGCGTCTCCCTCTATCAAAATAAGTCCTTATTTATTTTGGAACATTTGACGGTAGTAAAGGTGAGTGGCGCCAAGTTGGAGTGGCTACTTATAACACCCTTGTCGCGGTATGCGCCACAACAATCGGGCTACTGTACCTTCTCTAAGCATTGATCCCACGACCACGTCGTTAGCATCATCAAAGCAATGCAAATATGGTGATGACACATTCTCAGACTCAAGGATCAAGTTGATGAACAAAAGTCGATGGCCTTCATGTAAGGTGGAACAAAGGAAGATCGAAAAGTTAGATTCGACTTTGGAGAGTTTATCTGTTCGAACCTGGTAATCCCTGCGTAGTTCTTTCCCTCGCTGGCAAACCTCTCCTGAAATGTGTATCTTGCGCATTGAAAGTGAGGATTGAAAAAAATGAAAGACTCACTCAAGAGCCATCAGAATGTCTCGACTTCACTACGAACATCTATAATGCGTTTTTGATGCCATCGAACAGATCACTGATAACTGCAAATGTCCTGCGGGACTATAACCTCATTCGGATCCTTATGTGAGGCAAAACAACCTTTTAGAATATTATGTACTAACTTTACAAGATCACTTCCTGTGATTTTTCGTCATCGGTAACTTTCAATAACTGGAGGATACCCACTATTCTCCTTTGAATTTAGTAGTACACATAGGCCGTCATTTAGCCATTAACTACTCTGGGGTATTATCGTTATCGTTGGAACGCTAAGCGATGTTCATTCTGACCACGGTACATCACTCCTATCAACTGGACTGACTAAACTCCTTGTTGAGGGTAGAGTCGCAAGCAATACACCAACATTCCAAAGGTCAAGTCGGGCGCTCCGATGCAATAACACAAAACCAAGTACCTCACTTCTAGACTCGAAATCTCCGAGCACTAGTGCCTAGTACCATTCGGATCACTTTGATGCACCTCTACCGCGTTTTTTTAACGCCAAAGTTTGCCTGAACATAACCTCCCCTGAAATAACAGAATGACACCAATTCATCATCATCATCATCATTATCAGCTGTAATAACCGCGTACTCGTCGTACATTGGTTGCAGCTGCCGCAATTTCGTTCACCGATGATTTGGGGTAGGGGGTAGGTAGCTGCGCGTTGCAGGCGCGAGCTGGTAAGTTGGTGCATAAGTCCAGCACTGTCAGTGGGTTGTCAAGTGGGGGCTGGAAAAGGAGCCATGCATTGAAGGCAATAGCTTTGATGCAGGAGCGTCATTGTGGGCGCGACTGGGCCATGTCTGACAATGTCTCCAGCCATTGATGTGGCCCGTCTCGGGGTCCCCATCCAGGAAGACGGCAATTAACAGCGCAGCTGAGTTTTCTGGTAATGGCTTTCACATTTCGCTGCCAAGTCATTGTTTGACCGCCTCTGGCTCTCTTCCACCCTTCACGTGGTTGTACGAAAAGAGCCCTTCGAGGAAGTCGGTCGACTGGCATACGCAGCACGTGGCCAAGCCAGCGCAACCTGTGCAGTGTGATCAGTTCATCTATCGAGGGTGAGTTATTTCCCCCGAATACCATTCGACCTACTTCAGAATTGCTGATCCGGTGTTCCCACCAGATTCGGGCAATGCTTCGAAGACATCGATGGTCAAACACTGAAAGTCCTTCGACGTCCTCGGCGCGCAGCGGCCAGGTTTCTGATCCATATAGTAATATGGAGCGCACCGCAGCATTGTAAGCTCGACCCTTGACAGAGAAGCTGATGTCACGCCTACGCCACAGGTGACGTAGGTTCGCAAAAGCTGCTCTGGC